ACTTGACGAAGGCCCAACCTGCACGAGACGATTCAGGCCAGCACCATAGTTTTCGGCACGCCCCGTCAGTGTGGATGTCTCCTGTGGTCATGTCAAGGGAGCCGTAGTCGACGCGCCAGCGCTCGGAGTCGTCGCGCGGGGGCAAGGCAGGAAAACTGGACCGAGTGGCCATGCCGCGCGTGTAGAGCCAGGACCCTCTCATTGGTTGCGAGAAGCCTGCCCAATCAATGCTGGCTGTGGCCTGTCGTCGCTGCCGTTCTCTACTTGGACATTCCCAGACGATGCGATACTGGTCACAGTCCTCCGCATCACAATGGGGGCAGCATGACGTAGCAGCATAGCCTAAGCGATAAAGCCTAGACGGGGCCCAAAAGCCCCCGCCCACAATAGTACGGAGCATAGCACTTTCGTTGAAGGAAAGGATACGCCGTGAATCGAGGTTCCCCCCCTCAGACGTGTCCTCATCACTTCCAGGGGGGTCGTCAGGGGCCGCCCGCAGAAGCGCCAGGATTGGTCCCATCCAGTAACCTCGGGGCGCTTTGGGTGCCATTCCATCGTCAGCAGGGTTAGGTCGACTGGCCCAAGACCCCCACATCCTTCGAACGGCAGCGGCCCGAGCCAAATCCCGAACACTTACAGGTGCGATCATGCGCAAGTCGAGCACGTCACCTAGGTCCGTTATGAGAGTAAGCGCTGAAATCGAGCGCCATCCAATGTCTCGGATCGCAAGTAACATAGCGCCTGTTGTGCCCGCAACCTCACGCCAAGGTTCGGCATCGGTAAGTACTCGGAATACTTGCCGTTGCCAGGCCTTTTGCAGCACATCCTGAGAGATAACATTGTCGGCTGGGTCCAACACTGGACCTGTGGATCCCCGCCCATGGAACCTTGAGGGCAAGACGAAAGCCAGGCCGAGGATGATGATCCTGGGGTATACCACGTGCCTCTCAATGTGCTCCGCATTCGGTTGACGAGCGCAGGGGGGGCACCATGCGCGCCTACGCCATATTGCATTGCTGGTGGGAGCGCTTGCCGTGCAAATCGTCCAACTATGGCGCCTGCCTTACGCAGCATTCGAAGGCGAGGGAGACGATGACGAGTCACGAGAATCCGTTTCCGAAGTCTCCGGTACGATAGCCTGCGACCCGCCGCCACCTCCACTCCCAAAACTTCCAGGACCGTGGCATGCCGAAATCCTTTCCGACGAAGCCGATGAGCAACGGTACGACCGACCTGCGGACCCGAGGACGTGACCGTCATCTTATGTGGTGCTGGGGTGAGTTCGATCTCCAAGAGGGTGTCAACCAACTGCGCGAGGAACTCAACCGACGACTCGACAATGGATTTCCGCACCGCCGTAACTGCGACCGTGATGTCATCAACGTAGAGGTCAACCGTGCGACCGATCGAAGACGTGCTCGATACGAACTCACCGAAGGGCGAGAGCATTACAAGCTGCAAACAGAACATTGCCAGCGGACACCCAGGCAGCACTCCTCTAGTGGCTCGTACCTGCCGCGAGTAGGTAGATTCCCAAGAAAGACGCCTTCCACTGGCATACATTCTCAGTGCGAGCACCAATAAACGGGCGGGAAATTGATGGGTGAGACCAGCACGCAACAATATAACCCAGGGCGCTCGATCGAAACACTTTTCAATGTCAATTATGGCCTGCGCCGTGGTGAGCCCGTCAGGGCCCATGTCAGCGGCCTCCGCTTGGACCAGCAGTCGGGCCGCCACGTCTGTGGTCGACTTGCAAGTGCCCAGGGCGATATATGACCTCCCTAAACGACTGGCCCAGCTCCGAGCCCACTCCAGACGTGCCTTACCCCATAATCGATACAACGAGTTGAGTAAGGCGATCGGCCTGTATCCACCTGATGGTTTGGCCAACAATACGATGTGAACATGTCGTAGGATGCAAGGCCAGGTGCCCCAAGTCTCGCATAGGTGGAGGATGTATCCTAGTAAGGATAAGGCTCCATTACTTGCTAGGTGCCAGTGTCGGGGTCGAAACTGGTCTGCACCTACGGCTGAAGTCGATGGGACCCCCAGGGCGGCCTTCCGAAGGTCCATGATCTTCAGGGGGGGAGGGGTACCTGGGTCCACGGTCCAACAGCTCCCCAAGAAGTCCCTCATCTCCGCCAGTAGCGTCACCCAGATATCCAGATGAGCCTTCTGGTGGCCCTTCAGTGCCCTCCCAGATTTTTGACCAGGAGCTACATTGCGATTCAACAATATCCTGCGGACTACTGGACAAGCCGTTGGCTGTGCGGACTGTGGAAAGCTGCCGACCCTTCGGTTTGGTCCACCGATGTACAGCCCCCGGAGTGGTCTTGAGTGGCTTACGCACCCACTTATTGAAAGACTGTGCTCGCGCATCTGCGAGGCGTCGCTCATCGCGCTGAGCAATCTTACCGAGGAAGTCACTCACGAACCGTAGCATGCAGGGATACATACGCTCGGGCTGCGTCGTAATGCACGTGAGCATGTGAACGAGAACGTGCACGATATGCGGGTTGATGTGCCTCCGGAGACGACCATCCCGTCCCCGTCCACCCATGAAGTCAGACAAGTGATTCCATGCCCGCACGCACGCTTGCATATTACACTTGTCGTGCTGAAGACGTAGATCATTCACATGTGCCTGAAGTATGCGCAGCGCACGTGTCTGCTGTGTCCCTGCAGGCTGCTGACGGCTGAGGGCACCTCCTGCAATAGTATACGCATAACGTGGGCCATCTGCACGGCCACAAAACGCTGCATCTGGCTGCCCAGTGTGGAAAAGTGGAGCAAACCCACGCTCCACTCCATTATAAAGGGCAGCAGTGAGATCCTGCAACCGCTGATCACGAGGAGTAACATCACCATGTCCCATCTCAGAGTCACTCCTCATGAGGTTGATCCAGTCCACGCTGGATTCACCGCGCTGGGAGTAGCACGGCTCGTCATCCGCATCTACCTGCGCAGCAGGTGTCGTAGTGGGCTTAGGCGGGAAGACGGCAGGCCCTTGCAGTCGGCAGAGCTGCTGACCACGGGGGTGCGGTCCAAGAGGTACTGCCATAGGAAAATGCTGCCTTGCGGGAAACCCTCCCACTCGAGTCGGCTGCTGTAGGACCGTCGTCATGAAGTCAGAGACCATCCAATAGTCCAGAATAGACATATTCCCTGTGGCAGGGTCTTTTTAGGTTCCCTGCTTTCCTGCATGAATAGCTGCCCGTAGCCGCAAGGGATAGTCAGAGTTGATCATGACATCAGGTGGAACATTCCAGTCTCCTGCGACCACGAATGGCATCGCATAGTAGCTGAGTAACGCATCAAGCTGCGCAGTCGTGCCGTGTTACGTCCCCCAAGTCGCTGTCCTTGTTCCAAGTACAGAGATGCAGCGAGGAACCCACCCCGCATGCCCGTCTGCACAACCACACCGACCGCATATCCAGGAATAATAGTGTACCCTCGAACCATTCCTTCCAGTGGGATCACGTGTATGTTCTTGCGGACGAAGAGATCGACGCCTGCAGTGAAGTGTCCCGCATCTGTCGGGATCGCATCTGTAGTGAACGGCTGCCACCCGTTCCGCGCACACCATTCTTCAGCGATCATTCTGCGAGGCCCATGCAGGTGCAGCTCTTGGGCGGCAGCGATGGGGTAGCCTCGAGTGGTCTGCAGAAAATCCTGTAACTGAGGCCAGCCTGAGCTATTGAATGTGACCATGCACAGGTCAGTGGTCCGCTTCGGCGCTCTGTGCCGCAGCCTGCCTGATCCATCAACGTGGCGTAGGCCTCCGCCGAGGGCGAGCGGCAGCCAGCGTGGGCGGTCACCTGCGCTCTCTGCATGCACACTGTCATGGCCGACCTGGGAGGGGGGGGGAGGAGGAGCGAGGAGGAGGAGGAGGAGGCGGAGGTTGAAGGGGCCCCAGGACACACAAATAAATACACACAAATAAAAATATTCCCCATATTTTCTTATATTTTCTGGGTTTTTGTCCTCCCCCCCACTTCCCATATTTTCCCATATCTTCCTTGGAATCGCCGATTCATTGTGTCTGTGTGTTTTTTCCTCTCCTGAGAGGAGGCGGAGGAGGCGGCGGAGGAGGAGGGGGCGGGAACCAACGAAAACGTCCGAACACCCGGAAGCCCCACCGAGTCACCGCACGGCGTGGTCACCATGCCGCCCGGGGGCCCCGATCCCTGGGGCAACAGCGCCTAGAATCACGTTGCTCCCATCGTACTTGCGGACCACGTCCTGGAAATTATCTCGAACACCCCGAGCAGTAACGAAACAGTGTCAAACGAGCATCGCCTCCCGGGGCCCAACACGCGAACACCCTGCCCTCCAATTTCGGCACTCTCTTGGTGCTCGAAATCCTCTCTGGTAGTCAAGGCTAAAGCAGATCGGAACATCCTAAGCCTACACCCTGCGAAATGCTTAAGAAATCATGGGTTAAGAAATTCATAATCTCAGAAATTCAATAAAAACCCAAAATTTCCACTCAAATCTTAGGATTTGCATTAAAAAGTTAAGAATAATCGAGCCTCTGGCCAAAAAATTAGGTTTAAGCATCGCCTAAGGTGTAGAATCGAATCGGCACATCGACTCGGCGACAGAATCGGATCGGACCAGCGGCACTCGGATCCGCCTGCTGAAAGGGCGGCCTCCGGCGCCCGAGGCCTCGACGCCACGAGGCCTCTGGCGCCTCGAGGCCCCTCGGACGCCTCGAGACCTCGACGCCTCGAGTCGGATCGGCGGGAATCGGCACGCTCGCGAGGCCTCCCAGGGGACACCGGAACCCAAATCGGAGCCCGAAGTCGCGCCGAATCGGAATCGGCAGCCACCGAAATCGGATCGAGTCGAATCGTAGGCGTCGAGACGAGCCCCGGTGGGGCCGACGACGACGACGACGACGACGACGACGACGACGACGACGACGACGACGACGACGACGACGGCGGCGGCGGCGGCGGCGGCGGCGGCACGCCGAAGGCTGCCGAGGCGGCCGCTGAAGAGGTGCGGCCGGGCCCTGGCGCGGCTCTCCTCGGGGCTGGGCTTGCTGTCCCGCGGCGGGGCGGCCTCCCCCTCGAGGTCGTCGTCGCTGTAGTCGCTGCCGATGTCGGTGACCTGAGCCCCACACACCAAAAAACATCGAACACATACAGATCCACCTCCTCCTCCTCCTCCTCCTCCTCCGCCTCCTCCTCATCATTATCTACCTCCTCGTGCTCCTCCTCCTCCTTATGCTGCTCCTCCTCCCTCCTCCTCGTGCTCTCTCTCTTCCTCCCTCCTCGTCGCTCCTCCTCCTCGCTCCTCGCTCCTCTCCTCTTTTTGCACCTTGCTCCTCTCTCCTGCGATCTGCGATCGGCATCGGGTGCCCTAGTATTATCCTCCTGCTCCTCCCGCGATCCGAGGGTCCCGCGAGCAGTGAGGAGGGATGAAGGGGGGAGCACGGATGAGGAGGAGGGAGGACAGAACAGGAGAGAAGGGGGAGGTGAAGGAGGACAGGGAAGGAAGAGGGAGAGGAAGATCACGGAGGCGGAGAACACAGGATGAGAACACGACGCGGGGGCTGAAAGGGGACGAGCGTGGGGGGTGGACTAGCTGGGTGCGCTCGCGCCAGATCTGACATCCTGCCCCTCCCGCCCACCTCCCACCCCAGGGTGCTGAACCCTGTCACACCCGCCGGCCCGGGTGTCCTGGAGGACCCTGCTCCCCAGTGTGACCCCTGACCGTCCTCGGACGCCCATTCCCTGTGTATGTGTTCGGTTTTGTCTGCGTTTCTGTTGCTCGAAGATCCAGGATGCTCTCCGCTGGTCCTCGCCGAGAAAAAGCTGCAAACGTCTGGGCGACGCCAAAACCCCATCGCGCGACGCGCCTTTGAAAGGAGGGGGCTCTGCACATCTGAGCCGGGAAAAGGAGGCTGAGAAGCAACACGAGGAAGTGGATGATAAAGATGAGAGGAGGAGGAGGCGAAGGAGGAGGAGGAGGTGGAGGAGGAAGAGGAGGAGGAGGAGGAGAAGGAGGAGGAGAATTAGGACAAGGGGGTAGAGGGGGGGGGGGGGGAGGAGGAGGAGAAGGAGGAGGAGGAGGAGGAGGAGGGAGGAGGAGAAAGAGGAGGAGGAGGAGAAAGAGGACAAGGGGGGGGAGGAGGGAGGGGGGGGAGGAGGAGGAGGAGGAGGAGGAGGAGGAGGAGGAGGAGGAGGAGGAGGAGGAGGAGGAGGAGGAGGAGGGAGGAGGAGGAGGAGGAGGAGGGGGAGGAGGAGGGGAGGACCAGTGTAAACCCCCAATGCATCAACGATGTTGGAATAAACCTTCCCTCCAAGCTCCCTTTTTTTTTCGTATGCCCCATACAGTGATTCGTTTCCACTGAAGAAGCTGCCCCGTCGGAAGACAACCATTTGAATATCCTAAAGCATGCCAAATACTTGTTCTCGGGATTTCAACGCCACGGATCAACATGACTGTTGCGTCTTGACGATCCCGATTCGCGCCCAAACGCCACCCATGGGACTTCAACACCGCGAATCACCGTAACTGTTGCGCCATCATAGCCCTGAGCCCGTCCTAAACATCATTCCTGGTACAGGCCATGGGTTTCCGTGAAACGCTTGCAACATTGAACAACGAATGTGCGCGGCGCTAAAACGACTGCCGCGTTTTGACAAATAACCGCCCTCAACCCGTGAAGCCCGTGCAACATGATGCAGCGAATGTGCGCGGCGCTAAAGCGAAAACCACATGTTGAAAACCATCCGCTGACAAACGTGGAAACTCTTGCAAAGGTTTGAAAATGTGCGCGTCACTAAAGAAGCCGCAGTTTGAAAACCATCCGCCCTCAATCCGTGAAGCCCTTGCAATTGCGTAAATCGGATGTGCGCGGCGCTTCGGCGAGAACCGCATTTTGAACATCATCAGCCATCAATCCGCGAAGCTCTTGCTATAATGTGGCGCGAGCCACATTTTGAAAAGGAGGTCCCTTCCATATGTAGCACTGTCGCAAATGTTGAAGCTTCAGGATCCTAAATGGTAAGTATGACGTCTCCGAGGTCAAGGCGTGGCCCTCTGCCGAAGTTGCCTCTGTCGCCTGCCTTGGGTCAAAGTCCTCTATGAATCCGACGTAGGTACTCTGCCCCAGTTGGAGTGGGTGGGTGGCCATCGGCAATCGGGCACTGCCGCCGTGCGTGGCCGACGTCTCAGCAGACGACCCCCCACGAAACTGAAGTGGCCACAGCCCGCACATAACCGTGTCATCAGCGACGTCTCGGCCTCCATGCTGTGGGCCTCTTGAGCGACTTCAGCACCAACCTGGCGGCGCAGCTGGAACCTGCACGAGCCAGGTCTGGCTCCTCGCCACACGTGGCCAACGCGGTTCCTGCAGCCACGCTGTGCGTCTCTCGCCCGACTGAAAACATTCCTGACGCGTCCTACCGTTTTTCCCGAGCGCGTGAGTCGAGGCAGGCGTAGCAACTGCACTCGCCGCTGGAGGGACCCGTCGTCTGCTTCTCGCGCGTCGTCTGCGGGGCTCGGCTTCCATGGCGTCGAGTTGAATGCAGAAGCCTCCACCAGACAGCAACGGCCACGGCCTCGACCTTCACCGCGTGCCCTCTCCTCTTGGTCTAGCCTCGCCAGCTGCGCTGCATGCCCAGCCATCTCGTCAGCTGCTGCGTTGCCTCGTGCCAGCCTGGGATCGACCCCGCGCCGAATAGCGCCCGCCGCCACTAGGTGCACGGGTCATGTCGGGCCGCAAGTCCCACTCGCTGCGCCGACCGTCGCGGGCCGCCAGGTTGTCCGCGACGTACGCGACGACACCGCCACTGCATTCGATTCCTAGAACAAGTCCCAGAAGCTCGCCTCGATGCACGGATTGCCGCCGTCCTGGAAGGGGCCGCGGATGGCTGCTTGCACCCGAACTCCTTCGTCGTCCAATGTGGCGATTCCCGCGCCGACTCTCCGCGCGTTGCGTGCATGTTCTCTGGGCCCCCACTCGCGTCGCCGAAAATGACCAACGGTGCCTCCTCCGTGCCCTGGCCGAGGCTGAGTAGGCCCAGCTGCGCGCCGTCGGCGGCCCACTGCTCGAGGTCGGCGGGCGGGGCGACTGCCGTCCAAGCTCGAGGGGCCAGGCCGCGGAGCCAGAAACATAGGACTGACTCATGCTCAACCTGGGCCCGAGGAGTGTACTTCGGGCTCGCGTCGTACCCTTCGGACGACTCGTTTGCGCTCGCAGCCCCAGGCGCGGCGCGGTGGAAATCGGTCTCGACCTCGAGTCCGCACCTTCCTTGGGCAGCGCGCTCCGCTATCCTCGTTGCACATGTGTCCCGAGCTGGCTTTCCTCTCCGCTGTCCAGGAACCTCTGACCGCGATGGTGATCATCGCCTGCTGGAGGGCGCAGCCGTTGGCGAATAGCCCAAGCTGCTTGCTGACGCGACTAAGGCCGCGTAGGGCGGCCCCGCCCCCCCCATCCCTTCGCCGTGCCGGCGTCGCGCGGCGCCCTGCCACAGGTCAAGCTCCACCGGCTGGCCACATGCCTGCATGAGCTGCCTGTAGGAGCAGCCCCCCAACGCCTCGACGTCTGGGAACGCCCAGTAAACGCACCTGCCGTCGCTGCCAAAATGCACCCAACCAACTGGTCCGACTGGCAGCCAGTTGCGCTCCATGAGCGTGACCATCAGCGCCGAGATCGGACCTCGCACGCGTCGGCTCCGTTGACTATCTTCGGCTTGACGGACTCGCTCGAGCTGGGTGCACCATGCCTTCGCAATGCGCCTCCTCCTGTCAGCGCCCCCGCTCCACATCTGGAACCAGGCCTCGAGCTGTTCGCGGGGTGCCGTCTTGGCTTTTCGGCTTCCCCAAGTTGGAGCGCTGCGCGGCGAGGCGCCTGCCTCGCTGCATAGAGCCCCCGATGGCTGCAAGTCTCCTCCTCAACGCGGCTCGATCCGCACCGAATGCGCCGAGCACCTGGTGCCCGTGGGTGGCTCCAGCCCGGCAAGCTTCTCAATGCCGAGGCATGCGTTGCGCCGACAGGGGGGCCCTAACAAACCCCCACACCTGCATGCGGCTGATCTTGGTCTCGGACATCCTCTTCCTCCGCGTGGTGCGTGCGCGCCTGTGTCCTGCGCCCAGGTCGACCCCCGAGCGCGCGGCCGGCCGAATGGCAAATGCCTGGCGCCCCCTCTTCTTGACGAGCGCGGCGGCGGCGGTGGCGCCCTCGAAACGGCTGCACGTGACCGCGCTCTTTGGCGACACCTGGGGCCCAGCCTCGACTATCTTCTCACGCGTGGCCGCGAAGCCCCCCCCAAGTGCTTGCGCGCAGCCGCGCGTGAAACCACGGCAGACTCGGACAAGTCGTCGATCCACAACTTGGGGAGCAACGTCCGCGCAGGCGTCGCCGTGACCTCAGACACGATGAAAAATCTTGCGCCGCGCGCAGCGCGTGCCTGCTCAACACTTGCACAGTGGACTGCGTGGGCCGGGAGACCAGAGAGCTCGCGCAGTTGCAGATTCGCTGCGAGGCGCTGCTGCAGATCGAGGGACAACGCGCTGGCTGGGAAGCCCAATCGCAACGCCACCTCGCCCAGCTTGACCCGACCCATGGAGTCGTGGAAGGCCGCAATGTCCAGCGCCGCGCGGCCGTAGCTAACCCGCATGGCTGCGCGCGCCCCCTCGTCCACCGCTCGACCCAGTGCCTCGTGGAGGGCCGAGTTTCCTTCGACGGCCGCATCCAGGGCGGCCGCGGACATCTCTGCCCACTGCTTCACTTCGCTCTCTCGCGCCTGGCTTCATGCACGAGCGAGCATGCCCAGCGGACCGATGGCCCCCTCGCCCCCGCTCTTCCCCCCCGGCCACCTGCCCACGACGAGGGGCACTTCCCAGGGCCACGATCCGACTGCCTCGGCGCGGTTGAGCACGAAAACGAGCTCTTCCAAGGCTGCGTCGGGCAGGCGCTCGAAGTCCAGGGGGGCCGCCCAATCGGCGCCGCGCCCCGCCCGCGGCTACATGGAACGAAAGGCTCTGCGCAAGGTGGGGGCGTCCAACTCGGGGAGGCTGACTTCCGCGCGCTGGCTCCTGAGGGCGCGGAATAACTCGCGGATGCCAGTCTCGTGGGCGGTACCTCCCGCCTATGGATT